AAGCCCAGCTTGGTCTACAAAGTGAGTTCCAGGACAGCCAGGTCTATACAGGAAAACACTGTTTCCAAAAAAACAAAAGAAAGGAGAAAAAAAAGAAAGAAATCTAACAAAATTAAGCTGTTCCTTGTACCAGAGATGATGGTGACTCTCTTCCATTTCAATTTCAACATATGAATTCCTGCCATAACACCTTTTGCCACAAACAGGTAACTAGAATAAAGTGTTATTCTGCAATCTGTTGTACAGTTAATGGACTTTATACAATGGCTCATTGTTCTCTAGTTTTCATTTCATTCAACTATTCCTACCTCAACTGTGAATTTTTGTTTATTTTTGTTTTTCCAGACAGGTTTTCTCTGTGTAGCCCTGGCTGACCTGGAACTCACTCTTAACCAGGCTGGCCTTGAACTCAGAGATCCGCCTGCCTCTGCCTCCTGAGTTCTGGGATCAAAGGCTGAATTGTGAATTTAAAGTAAACCCAGTCTGGCCAGAGCCTGCTGTTTCATCTTTGTTGCACTCTGATGTCCCCATCACCTTGAATTAAGCCACCTTTAAAACAAACAAACAAACAAACAGGTTCTTACTGTGTAGTTTTAGTTGGCCTTGGCCTGGAACTCACTAAGTAGACCATGGGGGCCTTGAACTCACAGAATCCACCACCCCAGTGATGGGACTAAAGGTATGTACTACTCCTCCTCCCAGCTAAACAAATTCATTTAAAAGGCTAACAAATGAAATAAAAATTAAGCATAATAAAATCAGAGAGGGAGAGGGAATATATGCCATGTCTGGATATTTATGAGAGACTGATTCCAAGAATCTTTCAATCTGCCCCCTTTATATAGAAGGACAGTGTTTGCATATAACCTACACACATACTTCAAATAATTCCATAATACTAAAAACAATACAGAGTAAATATGTATTATAGTATATTATTTAAGAAATAATGATGAAGATAAAAAGTATGACTATATTTTGTATGAACTTTTTGTATTTGTATAGTGTTTTGCCTGCATGTATGTCTAGGTACCACATACATGCTGAGTGCCTTCAGAGGTAAGAACAGGGCATTGCATCCCCTGGAACTGGGATATAGTTGAGGTTAGGAACAATCATATGGGTGCTGGGTATCAAATCTGGGTTCTTTGCAAGAGCAACGATTGCTCTTAACCGATGAGCCAACTCTGCAGACCCCAGTACAAATATACTAATATATATATATATTTTTTTTTCATTTAATGTATGGATAAAAAATTCCATGGATTTAAATATGAACTGGGCCTGGTGACAAGGTCTATAACTGCAACTAACTCTGAAGACTGAGGCAGGAGGATGGCAGGCGCAAGGACCATCTAGGCTATAAGGAAAGTTGCCTGGGCAACTTAGTGCAACCCTGTCTCAAAATAAAAAACAATGCAAGAAGAGCTGGGATATAACTCAGCGGTAAGGTATGGCACTTGCCTTGAGCTTAATCTCCATTACTGCAAAGAAAAAGGCATAAATATGCAAAGCCAATTACAGAGGACACAATTATTTTAAGTATAGCACAAATTGAGATGAGAAAATAACAAACCCTTTAGACCCTAGACCTAAGAGACACATGCAACACCTAATATGACTTGTACCCATTTGCTGGCATGGGAATAACTAAAATACGAGACTCACACCCCATTGCAATCACTCCCTCTTGCTCCCACACCACAGACTGAGGAGAAACTGTCCCCAGACCTCCCCAGCTCTGCCTGTGCTTCAGCACTCTGACCTCGGGCGCTGGTGTAGCCCAACGAGCTGCTGACTTCATATTGGTGCAGGTGGGGGTTAGGGATCATCAGGATGTTGGTGCTCTTGCCCAGGGAGCTGTCATCAGAAGCCTGGCTCCTCACTTCCTCAGTGGGCAGTGCGCGGCTTGTTAGGGAAGGGCTGGATGAGACGTCACAGGAGCTGGCACTTTTGCGATTGTGATTCTCCTGCTCTCTCACAGACCTAACATGCAAGAGACGACAAAGACACTTAAACTCTGAGTTAAAATAGCAACGATAGCCAGGCAGTGGTAGCGCACACCTTTAATCACAGCACTCAGGAGGCAGAGGCAGGCAGATCTTTGTGAGTTCAAGTTCAGCCTGGCCTACAGAGCGAGTTCCAGGACAAGCTCCGAAGCTACACAGAGAAACCCTGTCTCTAAAAACCAACCAAACTAAATCAACGATGACTGTCAGCTATATATACTCAGAAAACCAATTTCAAAACTCTTAATATGGGAAATAATGCTAGCTTGAACAAAGTCAGATTTCATCTCAAGAGGGGGAAAAATGCATGGTGGCTTATATGTAATCCTGATGATTAAGAAGCTGGGACAGGAGGATCACCATGAGTTCAAGGTCATCCTAGGCCATACAGTGAATCCATGAGCTATAGAATGAGACCCTGTATCAAAACAAGAAAAAATCTTCTTGAAAAAAGTATTTTATTATTTTAACTATGTGTATGTATCAGTGTCAGTTGAAGGGTACGTGCATGTGATTATAGATGCCCAGATTAGACACTCCTAGAACTGGAGTTATAGGAAATAGTGATAGGGCAATGTCAGGGCTGGGAATTAAACTCAGGTCCTCTGGAATGAACCATCTCTCCTCTCCAAGCCCTACAAAAAAATTGATTTGTTAAAAATGTATACTCAAGTTGGGCTAAAGAGGTGAACCAATGGTTAAGAAAACTTGCTTCTCTTGCAGAGGACCAAAGTTCCATTCGCACCATCCATATCAGTTGGCTTCCAACAGTCTGTAAAGTTCCAGGAGATCTGACCGCCACTCCTGGCCTCTGCAAGTGCAGACACAGATGAAAGCAATACACCCATACATAAAACTTAAACTAAACTGATTTTTAAGAAATGTACCCTGAATACAGCAAAATTCAATCTCAAAAAACCACCAAACAAACAAACAACTCAGAAGAAAAGCCAGAAGTGGTTCAGGAGTTAAGAGCACTTGCTTCTGTTCTAGAGGACCTGAGTTTGCTTCTCAGCACCCATCAGGATGCTTACAACCACCTGTTACAACTCCAGATCCTGGAAATCCAATCCAGTGTTCTGGCCACTCTGGGTACCTGCTCATACTGTGGCAAACAAACACATGTATTAACATAACATGCATAAGTAAAAAATTAAAATAAATCTAAAAAAAAGAAGCAGGAACAAATAAGAAGTCCTAAGGAAAGCCTCTGAATAGCAATGACTGAGTCCCCTAAGTAGCACCAGATGTCCGTCTAGGGCAGTCTGTGCTATGAAGGGAGATCTTGTCTCAGAAAAACAAAATAAGCCAAGCTTGTTAGTACAGGCTTATAATCCCACCTACTCCAAAGGCTGAGACTTGAAAATTGCAAGTTCAAGGCTAATCTGACTGAGCTACAGTAAATTCAAAATCAGCCTGGGCAACTAATTCACTGAGACTCCATCTCAAAACAAAAGGGATCTAATGCATTCGCTTAGCATGCTTGAAGCCTTAAGTTCAATTCTAATACTAAGCAAATAATCCAAGACTACTAAGAAAATAAAACACAGGGGGTGGAAAACTAGCTCAGTGGTTTTTCCAGAGGATCTGGGTTCAATTCTCAGCACCCATATGCTGGCTCATAACTGTCTGTAACCCCAGTCCTAAGAGCTCTGAGGCCTCCTGGGTTCCTGAGTGCCAGGCACATACCTGGTATACAGGCCTGCATGCAGGCAAACCATTCACACACACACAAATATAAAAAAAACATTTTCAAAGCCGGGCGGTGGTGTCCAATGCCTTTAATCTCAGCACTTGGGAGGCAAAGACCAGTGGATATCTATGAGTTCAAGACCAGCCTGGTTTACAAAGTGAGTTCCAGGACAGGCTCTAAAGATACAGAGAAAACCTGTCTCGAAAACCCAGAAAAAAAAAAAAAAAAAAAAAAAAAAAACAAGAAAAAAAAAAGAAAGAAAGAAAAAGTAAGTTTTAAAATTTTAAAATATATATAACTTGGAGCTCATTTAAAAAAAAAAAAAAAACATGTGTTTGTTTGTTGGTGTGGTTGGGTGTATGTGAGGGCCAAGCGCCTTTGCAGGGGTGGTTGTGAGTCTCCTGGCATGGGTGTTGGACACTGAACCTGGGTACTCTGAAAGAACAATAAGCACTCAATTGTTGTACAAAACTTGTTTTGGCTTTTTGAGACAGGGTTTCTCTGTGTAGCCTTGGCTGTCCTGGAACTCACTCTGTAGACTGGGCTGGCCTCTGTAGATCCACCCGCCTCTGCCTCCCAAGTGCTGGGATTAAAAGTGTGTGCCACTACCACCCGGCCTGCTCCAAGGGCATCTTAAGAAAACTACACAAGATCCAAAAATGAACAGGTTGTTAAATCTATCACAATTAGAAAATGTTACTTGGCCAAAAGGGTACAGAGCGAATTTAATGAGTGGGAGTTAGAGAAAGAAAATCTCTGTTCTTGGAAAAATAAATCTAAAAGATCAATGTTAGTGCTGGCTGAGGAAGAGCTTGTGCTTTGTGAACTTCAATTCCTGGCTGAAATATGTCTGAGAATTGCCCTGCCTCTTGAGACAAAACGTCACGACAAACAAAACAGACTCAAGAGCTTGCAAATGGAATTCCCAATGATCTCTACAACATAGCTTTCACTGAGGCTAATTTTAATTTAGAACTCCTTTAAATTTTTAAATGATTTTCTTAATGTATGTAAATATTTTCCCTGCATATGTGTAGGTGCACATGTTTGCCTGGTGTCCATGGAGGTTAGAAGAAAGCTTTGGAGTTCCCAGAACCTGGAGTTCTAGATGGTTGTGTAGGATGCTAGGAACTGAGCTCCTTTGAAAGAATAACAAGTGCTCTTAACCACTGAGCAATCCCTCCAGCCCCAATTTAAACATTTTTAAGGTTGCTTTCCTAAGGGTCCCTCAGGTTTTCTTTTTGTTTTATAATAGTCTGTTTTAATATAAACAAATGTTGGAATTTAAAAAAAAAAAAAAAAACATGGAAGACTTCATGAATTTGTGTGCTATCCTTGCAAAGACAGAGGCTATGGTAATCTTCTCTGTATTGTTTGAATTTAGTATATGCGCTGCCAAAAGCAAGCACCTCTTGGGTTTCCTTAACCAATCTATTTTTCCTGAAATTCAGCCTCACTATATAATTGAGGCTGGCTTTGAATTTGGAATCCCTCCACGTTTGACTACTGACCTCTGCCACATGTCTGGCCTCTAAATAATTGCATATGCACCCCCAAGGGAATCTGACAGAAAACCTGCATGTGGCGAGGCGCTGAGCCCGGGATGGACCAGGCAGCCTGAACACTTGAGCATCGTAGGCGTCATAATCTACTTGGATGGGAAGGGTGTTCTCAGATTCCTTTGGAGTCACAAGAGCTGTAAAACACAAATAATACAATTAAAACACATTTCTAACAGACACCTATAGAAAATATCTATAGGTGTCCAAAGATACCTATAGAGATGACCTATAGAGGGTCATCAAACTCTGCAAGGCACAGGTGATCATCTACCAAGGAAAAGATGGAATAATAAGCCACCATTAGGTTAAGACTGAAAGACATAAATGTCAAAGTGACATGAAAATACTACAGCAGTAGCTTGGCATGGTGGCACATGTCTTTAATCCCAGTACTCAGGAAGTAGAGGCAAGTGAATCTCTGTGAGTTCAAGGCCATCCTGGTCTACAAAGTGAGTTCCAGGACAACCAGGACTGTTACACATAGAAGACCTGTTTTCAAAAAACCAAACCAAACAAACAAAAAAGTATAGCAGTTAAAGAAAGGCAGTGTTCAGCACTTCAGTCCTACACAGTCCTGCATGAAATACCACCCGAGCATCCTCCGTACTCTGTTTTCCACCTGACCCATTCACTGCAGCCAAAATGGTACAACTACAAGGTGGCTAAAGACCCTTCCAAGGATGACACAGGGATGTGGGTGTATTGACCTTTATATGAACCTTCTTATAACACTTCCCATTATTTTGTTGTCATGAATTAGCTATTTCTAAGAGTGATAAAAAAAGCATCTCAAAAATACTCACATGTATCACGGCCATTTTTGTTTTTTTCAGAAGCAGGCTGAAAAATCAAATAAATATTTTATCACTCCTCTGACAGACCCAAACTTAACACGACACAGTATGTTATGTACTACTCCCCAGAGCAAAGCCCATGTTCCAGTTATCAGGTAACTTATGAAAAATAGGTGTGAACGCTTGACACCTGCCTACCACAGTGCCAAACCCTGCGGAGTCTTTTAGTTTCCACCTCTTATCTTACTCTCACAACCTTATCCAGGTGGGGCATGGACCCCACCTCCTTCCTGCTGGGGACTGAATCTGGGGCCTTGTGCATGCTTAGTAACATGCATGCTTAGTAAAGCTACAGCCCCAGCTTATCCATAAAGTTTCAACACAAAAATGTTTAAACCCTATTTATGACCGTAGACAGGGAAGAAGGGAGATGACAGTACTTCAAGATCAGAATAAACACACAGTTGTGAGTAGCCCCTGAAAGTTGTTTAAACCGGGAAAACATACCTTCTTTCCTGCCAGTTTTATCCGTGGAGTAAAACTGTTACAAAAGAGCTGGCTTTTGGATGTGTAGAAACTGTTAAAAAAAAAAAAAAAAGTCATTAATCTATAACTTATTATTTTTTTTTTTAAATCTATATGTGCATTTGGTGTTTGGCCTACTACAGATAGTTGTGAGATGCCATGTGGGTGCTGATCCCCGGTCCTCCTCAAGAGCAACCTATATTCTTAACTGCTGAGGCATCTCTCCAGTAACAATTTTTTTTGTTGTGGTTTTTGTTTTTCAAGACAGTGCTTCTCTGTATAGGCCTGGCTGTCCTTGAACTCAGATCTGCCTACCTCCGCCTCATAAGTGATAGAATTAAAGGTATGCTTGACTATGCCCAGCTTTTTTAATCTACACCTTAAGACAAAAGTGCAATTCCAAGTAAGACAGCTTGCCTGTGCCTGGCTTTGTTTTGGGTTCGCAAATCTTCCCAATTCTAGCCAGTAAGATGGCTCAGTGGGTAAAAGCACTGTGAAAATCTGACAGTGTGAACTTCAGCAACCTCTGGTGGAAGGAGAGAATCAATTTTCAAAAGCTGTTCTCTGACCTCCACACACATACATACAAGTAATTTATTATTATAAAGCCAATCACAGTTGTAAATGCTTTTAATCACAGTATTCTGGAGGCAGAGGCCAGGCAATCTACATAGCAAGTTTTCAGCAGCCTAGGCTACACAGTGAGACTTTTTCTCAAATAATAATGGTAATAATAATAATAGCAAAAAATTTAAATTCCAATTTCAATATTAGCAATGATTTCAACTGCTGCTCTGGCCCTTTCTCTTCATACACCATATGCTCACTGTTTAGCCTGCACTAGTGCTAACTGCTAACTAGATCAGAGTGTTCTATTTCAGGGACAAATCTCTTTATATCATAACATTTCTCTCTCTCTCTCTCTCTCTCTTTCTCTCTCTCTCTCTCTGTTTTTTGTAGACAAGGTTTCTCTGTATAATAGTCCTGGCAGTCCCAGAACTCACTTTGTAGACCAAGATGGACTCGAACTCACAGAAATCCATCTGCCTCTGCCTCCCAAGTGCTGGGATTAAAGGAGTGCACCACCACTGCCTGGCTATATCAAATACTTTTATCCTGATGTTTGGTACAATGTTAGAACTACAGGAAGTTGTTAATATTCACTCACTGGTCTGGACTTAGTTAAATAAAACAAAATTAAAAAAAAAAAGGCAAAAGACAAAAGTTAATGCTCGAGAAAAGATAGCAGAAACCATTAAATCCCAATCCCTGTAAAAATAATCTTAATATATCCATATCATTAACCTATGTTAACTGGAGACCAGCCTCACACCCAAGTCCTGAATGAACAAACACACAGAAGCTGTACTGCCTTTCCATGTTTCAGGGACCTTGGAGCTTCTTGTATTCTCTCTTCTCAGTCAAAAACTTGCAAAAATAATGTTTGGGTGTTGCCCTAAGTCTACCTTCTAGGAAATCTCTGACTAGAAACAAATAAAACTTAAAAACAAAGCCAGGTGTGGTGGGACACTTTTGAAGCACAGGAACATGGATCTCTGTGAGTTCAAGGCCAGTCTGGTCTTGGTGAGTTCTAGGCCAGCCATAGCTACAAAATGAAACTTTGCTTCAAAACAAACAAAACAACAACAACAAAGAATAAAAGCATCAGCAACCTCAGATAAGTGACAAGCCAGGGGAGCAATTTTATGGTACAGGTACACTAAGTACATAAGAACACCTGAGTGTCACCTGCACGTGCCATTGGATCTGGAGTCCAGCCAACCCCTAGGATTTGGCTTCTCCCAGTGGTATAAAGTATAGAAGTAGAAGTTGCTATTTTCTTCCCAGACATCAGGAGTAAAGAATATGAGTGAAAATCTGGCATGGTGGCAAATATCAAATATCCATTATTCTAGCACTTGGAAGGCTGAGGCAGGAGTGCTTGGGTTTTAGGCTAGCCTAGGGCACACAGCATGTCGCAAGAAAAAGAAATGACTGAGGAGATGGCTTAATCAGTAAACTGCTTGCCAGGCAAGCATGAGGACCTACGTTCACTTTCCAGAATGCAAATTAAAAAAGAGCCAGGCTCAGTGTTACACACTTTGCAATCCCAGCAAAGAGCAGACAGACAGGTAGATAGATCCCTGTGGCTCACTGACTGCCCAGCTTAGCCTACTTGGAAAATCTCTAGGACAAGAGACCCTGTCTCATAAAACAAAGTAAATGGCTTCTAAAGAAAGACACACTAGGTTGACATCTGCCCTCCACAAGTATGTACATACACATGTATATACACCTTCATACACATGTGCAGCAATATAATGAAAATACCTCTTACAGTCTAAAAGGCTGGAACTTCTGCTGGACCTGCCAGCCACAGTTAACAGTTCACCTTGGAGACACTGAAGACTGACTTTAAGAGAACAACGTATCACAAGGAATGGTAGTGTATGTCTTTAATTTCAGCATTAGGGAACAGAGGAAGTTTTAGGCCAATCAGGAAAGGAAGAAGGGAGGGAGGAAGGGAAAGAGAGAGAGAGCACAATGGGTAAAAAAATTATTTGCCTTGTATTTCCCACGCAATCAAACTTTATAAGTTACACTATAAATTATGTACTCTTCCTTGCCCCTGACCAATAATAATGCACATATATATGTGTGTTATGCTAATAAATGCTGGAAATAGCAAATACAAAATAAATGAATATCCATCATAAATGTTGAAGACAACATACAGATATTGTTTGTAGCTTTTGATTACTTGTTATCTGTGTCAGTGGGATTCAGTGACACATCCCTTGTAAAATTCTGTAAAGTATCCCTCATTCCTTCCCCCATGTGATGTGTTCTGTGCTATTCAACAAAAGTGAAAGAGAAGCCCTTTGTTAGGGACATAAAGAGACACACACAAGGAGATTAACAAGATGGCATTCAGGCAGGCAGAGATTCAGGCTGATAAAACAAACCAAGAGATTAAGAGTATTGGCTACTTTCCCAGAGAACCCAGGTTTGATACCTAACTTCCCAGTGATGGCTCACAATTTGTAACTCTAGTTTCAGGGAACCCAATGCCCTCTTCTGAGGGCACACAGACACATAAATAATAAGTATGCTAATAGTGTTTTTTAAAAAAATATGCTACAGAAGGTTCTATTGAGCTAGAGGCATAAGCCAAGTAGTCTGCCCTTCATGGAGCCCAGCTCATGACAAACAACACAAAAAAACAGAAATCATCAAATAAAAAGTGTCTACTGGTCACTGGGAAGGAGTCACAGAGGAGAAGGGCTTGGAGCCGGGCCTTGAATGAAAGCACCTGAAAAATAAAGCCCAGACCTGAGAGTAAATGTCTGCAACCCATAGCAAGAAAGGGAACTGGCGGCAGGAGAGGAGGCTGCAGGAGTCAACCACATCAGTCCTTGTCAAGCTCTCTTGGAGAATTGGATCAAACACAGATAGAGAAGAACACTAATACTTTTTTTAACTTCTTGAAAGTCAAACTAAGAACATTAAAACTATCTTGCTACTCAG